CTTCCCCCCCCCCCCCCCCCCCCCCCAAAAAAAAATGAATCTGTAGATGGCCACAAGATCACCTCTCAGCCTTCTCTTGCAGAGGCTGAAAAGATTCAGGTCCTTCAATCTCTCCTTTTAGTAGAGCCTTACTTGCAGGCCCCTAACCATACAAGTGGTCCTCCTCTGGACCCTCAAGATTATTCACATCCCTCCTTGAAGTACGGCACTCAAAACTGAATGCAGTACTCCAGTTGTGGCCTCACCAGTGCCACACAGAGGGGAAGCATCACTTCCCTGGACCTGTTTGTGATGCACCTGCTAATGCATGATAAAGTGCATTTAGCTTTACTGATCACTTCATCACATTGATTCCTGTTCATCTTGGAGTCAACTATGACTCCGAAATCCCTTTCTGCTACAGTGCTGCAGTTCTTTAAAACCATTTTTTGCTTTGGAGGTACCAAAGTGAATTGCCAATCTCCAAGAAAGCCCTACGTTGCTACATCATTCTTTGCCAGCCCTACACCTGGGTTTTTTCTTTCAGACACCAGCACCAAGCAGAACTGCCTCTTTTTCTGAATCCAAGCCTGATGAGATCACTCCAGCCAAGAAAGCGAAGTCTGTGGCACCTCCTGGTAAGCTCAGTATCCTGGTCTATCACTAATAGCAATGCTTACACACCCTGCCCCCTTCTGCTTCCAGCTCTTGAAAGGGTCAACCCCACTGCCTCCCCTCCACTGCTCTTCAGCTCGGCATGGGGGACATGGTCCCAGCTAAGCATCTTTGTGGAATCGGCTGTAACTCCAAGCTTGAGCTCTATAACCATTGTTACTTGGAGGGTTACTCATTTCTAAAAAGATGAGGCAGAGTTGTCTTTTGCGTGGGCTGTTTTGTTTTTCTTTTTCCCAGGGGAAATAGCAGAAATTGAGAGTTGCAGCCTCCCAGCTCCCTCACACATGTGAAGCCAATAGGGAAAATTTCCTCAGTATTGTCCCACTTGGTTGTCTGGTTTTTGTTTGTTGGTGTTTGTAAGTAGTTGGATATTGTGGTGTTGGAAACCACATCGCTGCCTAGAAAGGCATACCTTGCACCTGGGTTTGTGTTTAAAATTCTGGGCAGAGTATTAGGCGCCATGGCCTGCTGCCTCCAGTGAATTGAGATATCCCTTGAGGTTAGCACGTTTAAGGGTTTGTTTGTTGTTTTTTTTTTTAATCTAGTTAGCTGGGAAACTTCCCTGTCTTAACACAGCCACAAGCCCTCGAAGCTCCTCCTGTTTCCTCCATTAGAATTAAGAGTGGGAAAGGTATTTCAGGAGTAAGCGAGACGAACATTATGTACATGCAGCAGGACTCAGACCAGTTCCTAATGGGTAAGGTCACAAAGAGCCATTACTGTCACCCCAACTGTTACTAATAGCCAGTTCTGTGGGTAGTCTTAGAAAAAAGGTTGAAGGTTAAATGGACTGTGGAAGCTGTAATTTAGCTTATGGTTCGGAAGACAAAGCATCTTGTGCTTGAAACGTATCTGCACTGGGATGAGCACAAATTCCTGCGCAGTGAATGTTTGGTGTCCAGACATCTGGAAAGCAGATGTTTTGACTTCATTCTGTACATTCAGAAACCACTTTAGGCTGGTTGCTGCTGCACAAATGTGTTTGGAATGTGTGGTATCTCTAAGCTGTAGTTCTGCACATGATTTTTTTTTTTTAATTTATTATTTGGTCAGGAGTTGCTGGAGCTGCTTACTATTAGTATATTGTGTCATAACACTGGAGTGACCTAGCCATTTTTTTTAATTAAACAGGTCTTTTCCCCTTTCTGTTTTTAAAATGCCCAATCTGGAGTTCCCTTCTACTTTGTCAGTCTGTGCTATTTTTTTAATTAAAAAAGAACAGTGCATTATGCAGGGAAACAGTTTAAACAAATCACTAGAGGCCACTGAGTTACCAGCAGGGATACTGGCTTTCCCTGATTTTAAAAAATTTGCAAACGCGCTCTAATAAACCCCCAAATCAGTTATTTAAAATTAAAGCCCCTCCTCTGAGGGGGGGGGCCCCCCCAGCTACCAGGGCTATGGGGCCAGGGACCCAGGTCCACAGCCCAGTGGCCCCATCAGAAGGTGGTGGCTGCTGCAGCAGAGCAGAGCCTGGCTCCCCCTGCTGCCTGCTCCGGGCTCGGGAAAGGGGTTGACTCCCCATTTTACAGTGTGCACTCCTAGAGGGGCAGGGGGGACCCATGCCCCCCCAGATCTGCATGGGGCAGAGGTGGGGGCCGGCACAAGCTGTGGGTGCTGGCTCCCACCCCGCTGCCCTCTCCTGGGGCCTCTGGAAGCCATCAGGCACAACCCAGCACAGTAGGGAACATTGGAGCCACACGGAGAAGCTGCTTGCTGCTGAGAGCTCTGCGCTGTGCTGGCAATGTGCCCCTTGCACACGTGGCTGCAGTGAGGGTGGCAGCATGGGGTTGTGCCCCTCAAAGCTGCTGCACATACAGAGAGGACACCTCGCTGGGGCAGCACAGAGCTTGCAGTGGTAAGCAGCTATCCTGCGCAACCACACTGCCAGGCTGCAGAGGCCCCAGGGGAGGGCAGCAGGGCACAGGAGCTTGAGCCTGCAGTGGGCAGCCCATCCCCACCCCACTCACAGATCTGGGGGGTGTGGGTTTCCCCTGCCGCCCCCCCCCCCCCAGGAGTGTGCACTGCAATGGGGAGCTGTCCCCCCAGCTGCCCATGGTCACATCCTACTCCTTGCTGGGGCTTTGCAGCTGTGGATTGCAGCCTGGGTCCCAAGCCCCATGCACTACCTGGCTGGGCAGGAGCCCCAGTTCCAGCCCTGCCCAGCTCCAGTCCCAGCTCCAGCCCTGCCCAGCTCACTCCCTCCCTCCTTACAGGGGCCTCAATTCTGTCCCCCACCCCCCAACATACCTGCAAGAACTGCTTTCCAGGCTGCCTGGGGCCATGTGCATGTAGATGCATATGGCACCGTCTGCCTGACTACCTTCTTCCAACTCCCTCCCAGCCCCCTGCAGGCTGGAACTATGCCCCCCTGCAGCAGGCTCACTGCAAAACTGCAAAATCCACAGGTTTCTCTGCTAAAATGAGAAATCCACATTTGACTCCAGTAAAGAGAGAGATCTGCATTTTACTCCGTTTTTCCAAGGGAAACAGAAAACTTGGATCCCTGGTTATCAGGGTTGCAGCAGGCAAAGTTTTGTATTCCACTAGCTGTGCTATATTGTTGCATCAGTGATTCTCTCTTTAACAGATTCAGCCCCAACTTCAAGACGTGTTCAAGGTAGGATGCCTGTGACTAGCTGAATGTGTCTGGCCTTGCTGGCAGCTGACCTTTTTTTTTATGCTGTTTTTCTCTCTCCAAAAGTTTGCAGTGTTGTCTGGTTCCCCCACCTTCCCTCATTCCTGTGGCCTGTAGAGTGTGACACCATTCTTGCTTTTCAGCTGCTTTTGAAATGCAGATCTGAAGCTTATTTGTGCAAAGGAGGAACAGTTTTAACAATGGGAGGATTAAGGGAGAAAAATCAACCTAAAAGGAGAGGGATCATTGCAGGGAGGTGACTTCAATAAACAACACCCCTTTTAATTCTGACCTGGGTGTACTATGGATGACCTGACACTCTTTAAAACACATGTACCCACACATCCAAGATGTTGGTGTTTATTTTGATCAGAATCAGGTAGTTGGATGATTTTAAGAAACACATTTTATTTGTGTGTTTAAATAAAATCATAATTACACAGGTCCCATCTGTCTGAGGCATTCCCAGTACACAAGGAAGCTTCTGATGAATCAGCTACAGTTGGTGGCTGCTTTACCCATTCAGCCAAACATTTGAGCTTGCATTGCTTTCCCATGGCAGCTGATGGGATTTTAGCCTTTTCTTCAGCCCTTTGCTGGATAAGGCTGGAGAGCTGAGTAAGTGAAGTTTCAGTCACTTGCAGGAGCAGGGCAGTTAGCTCAGAGCAGTGATGGAAAGACTCCTGGATTCAGATTCCAGCTCTGCTGCTAACTATCCCTTGTAGCAAACCATCTCCCTCTCTTGGTCTCTCTTGTTTAAAATGGATGTGGTGACACATTGTGTAATTGCCAGGAAGATAAATGCTCTGGCTTTTTATGATATTCTCAGTCTAGAATCCATCAAAGACATCAGCTAAGCAGCAGTATGGCTGAGTGAACCATCCATGTACTTGCAGGGATGGGGAAAGTCATAAAATTAAAGCGGGGAGCAAACAGTGCTGGTAACCAGCATGAAGCAAGAGTTAAGAGTGAAACCAGGTTTTCAGCTCCAGGGTTAGTTATACCCAGAAGTTGGTGAAGGGATCCTTAGACTTCTAAATGAACAAATAGCCTGAGGTTAGAGAGAGGGGCCCAGAATATCTCCTCCTAAAAATCTGTGTGACTGCAATGTAAGCAGATAAGCCATCCTCTTCTGTGAGCTTGCTCCCAGAAGCCAGGTTCTGTGCCACCTGGAAATGCTGGAGACAGCCAGTCGCATGTTGGATTCATATACTCAAAAAGAACTGAAAGCCTAGCCTGAGTAATGTTAAGCTGCTTTCTTGCTTTTTCTCCCCGCTCCCTGTGCCCTTATGTGGGAAACTCCATCCACATAGAAATCTGGCTTCCTGTGGACCTCTTGGAGTACAAGCTACATGCAAAATACATGCTTCAGCATTGGTCTCTCTCTTTTTCTCTTTCTCTCTTCAGCTCCACAGAATACATCTACTGACCAGTCCAGTTGGGAAGTGGGGGGAGGGAGAGCATGGCTAGTACATTTTGGGGTTGAGAGGAGGCAGCAGTTTTCCACTTCTCCCTCCTCGCTCTGCCACTGATGGAATCCTTACCTGTTTTGTGAATCTGAAGGGCAGCACCTACAGTGAGACCTCTCAGGCTGCTTGCCCTCACTCGAGTGGCCTGTCTGCTACTTCCAGCGGGTTTGGAGAGGGAATTTGCCCAGTTTAAAAGCCTTCTTGGCAGACATGTGGGATACATAGCATTGCAGCTCTGGTTATGCACAACTTGATATTTGGGTCAGTTGTTTTGTCTTTTCTCTCCCCTGTGCCTCTGGACAGGTAAAGCCACAACCCTGTTCAGCCGTCACACCAAAGCAATTGTTTGGGGCATGCAGACACGGGCTGTCCAGGGCATGCTGGACTTTGACTATATCTGTTCCAGGGATGAACCTTCGGTTGCTGCCATGGTTTATCCATTCACGTAAGTGAGCTGCCTTTTTGGTTTCCCTTAAATCTTCCTGCTGGCTTCCTCCTCTTTAAGAATCTCTGTTATTCCTCGGGTCTCAGCACTGCTCCACCTCATCCTATGTCTCCTACATCTGTCTTCTCACTCCTGACTCCCTCACCCTTTTGACTAGTATTTGCCTGGTGTTCTTCCACAACTCCTTGATTTTTGTGTGTCTAGCCTGAGGGATTCCTATGTGGTCATCATTCGCATACTGGCCAGGTCCAGTTCAGCTTAGTTAGGAGCCTGGGTGTCTTCAGTCTGGCATGGCCATAAGTTGGAATGGTAGGCATTCCCAGATAAAATAAGTGGTTTCTGTGTCCTGCCTCAGAGTAGATCTGTTTGACCTCTGTAGACCCTGGGGAAGGGATTGTCCCTTCCTTTGGCTTGGTAACATGTCCATTTTTAGTGCCTTTTTAATCGTATTTTGAAATCCCAGGAGCTTAGTGTTTGACTTGATTCTCCAGGATTTTACTCTAGTTTTCTGGGACCTGTCAGCCAGTGCTAGTTGCTCCATCCAAAGTACAAGTCAGGCCTTCTTACTTCTATCTCTTCTATAGTTTAAGATCCCTATAGCAGAGACTCCTCTGGCTGAATTTGTACAGCAGTTTATACAAAGTCACAGTCCTTATTTGCTTGCTTCTGGGCCATGTGCTATTTAGTAGTAATTTTGCAAAGCTTGCTGCTGCTTTTTATTCCCCATCCACATGCTGCCCTAGTTGCTTTATGCCTCCCTTGCTCCCTGCAGGAAGTGGTTGTGCTGGAGCTTGGTACCAATGCACTGGCCGAGTTGAGGAGTCATTCTACCTTGGAAGAAGTTATTTTTCTTTGAAAAGGAGTGATAGGGAGGTGAAGAATGGGACAGTGGTGAGAATGAGGGAGTGACTGTCTGGGATTCTGTTTTCCTGAGAAAGTTAGACAGGAGCTTTCTGCTAGGTTTTTATATAAAGCTGAGACATTGAATCATGAAACATCTCTGTCCTGCAGTGAATCTCCCCCTTTGAATCCTCCTTACCTTGCCTTCCAATCAAGCACCTCACTGTTAGTATCTAATGATAATTACAACTTTGGAATCCCTCTTGAGCAAGAGGCATTTTGCAGAGCACTTTACCAGCACAAAATACAGGCACAGATTTCCTACTGCTGAGATGCAGCCACATGAAACTTTGCCAGTTTCTCCTTGCACAGCTACCATATGGTGCAAAAGTTTTAAAGTTAGAAAGAGAGGAGCCCTGTACTAATAGAAGTCACATGGGGAAAGTAGGCTGGGAAAAAGGAACTGCCAGGGTCAAGGTCACTTGGGGTCATTAATGACCAATAGCAGTCAGTGGCCCTCTGTTCAGCAGTCTTATTCCAGCTGGGGGGTCCTCTCGGTTGTGGAGAATAAGGCCTGGGTGTTAAGCTTTTTCAGGGGTGTTTTGTTGATGCATCTGGATAGTGAAATCTTCCTCTAGAGGGATAAGAAATCAGCCGATTGGCACTCTGCCATCCAGTTTCTTAGGCCTGAAGGATGATTATCTTCTTTCAGTTTCCCTTTCCTTCTGCCCTTTAGTTATTAAATAATTGCTAATATCCTGGTCTCATTTACTGTTTCTTTACCTTGTTCATTTTTTTTCTTTCATTGTCTAATAGAATTGAGGTTTTGTTAGCCTTACTGTAGGATTTCTACACCTTAACTTTCTGCCTCCTTTTACCTTCTACATCTGCCTTAACCGTACTCTCTCCACATACCACTCTCTTTATGCACTGAAGACCCTCTTGTTAGTTATGGTTACTTTTACTCCCAACTTGAGATGAGAGTCCAGGCTGCTGGTGTTTGAGAAATGTGCTTTGTTGTTTCTCTGCCTGCAGTACTGTGTAGCTCCTTTTTAGCAGCATAAATGATCAGATCCATCTTACTTTGTTTTTTTGTTTCTTTTAGCGGAGACCATAAGCAGAAATTCTACTGGGGCCATAAGGAAATTCTGATCCCTGTCTTCAAGAACATGTCGGATGCCATGAAGAAGCACCCAGAGGTGGACGTCCTGATCAACTTTGCCTCTCTGCGATCTGCTTATGACAGCACTGTTGAGACCATGAACTATCCACAAGTAAGTGAGCAATCAGCAAAGGTCAAAGACACTGAAGCAACCCAGGCTAGTAATATCAGGGAAACAGGACTCTGCATTATTGTGACTTTAAAATACTATTTAAGTGCTTTACCTCTTGAATGGAAACTGGGTATGCATTTCCCCAGAGTTAGGAACTTACCTTAACTCAGCTTTTTTAACAATAAATATAGGAACAAGGTGAGCTAAGCTCTTCACACTCCACTAAGACTTTTTACCTAGCTTCTCAGAGGCTTGATCTCGCACCCTGTATGTGTTGTGGTAGGGAAGGTTCTTCTCTTAAGTAATTCTCCCAACCTACTGTGCTCCTGGAACTCACCAGGATGTTACTGAGGGAGTTTTGTATCTTGTGCTGTAGATCCGCACCATCGCCATCATTGCGGAGGGCATTCCAGAAGCGCTGACACGCAAGCTAATCAAGACTGCTGACAAGAAAGGGGTCACAATCATCGGGCCTGCAACTGTAAGAAATTGGTTAAATCTCATCCTCCCTACATCCCTTTAATGTTAACACATTTTTCTTTTGAGAAAAATAAAAGCTTAATTCATTTAAAAAATCATATTTATTATAACATAAAAGGCAGAGTAATTCTCAGTTTGAAGGTCACTCTGTGGCATGCAAGGCGGCTGCTGCCTTCTGGTGTTCATATAAATATTGGCAGATACCACTTGCTTTATGGAAATATCCCTAGACTGCTCAGCCTTCAGGCATCTTTCTCTGTTCTTCCTGTAGGTTGGTGGGATCAAACCCGGCTGCTTTAAAATAGGTAACACAGGAGGAATGCTGGATAATATCCTGGCATCAAAACTCTACCGCCCAGGCAGCGTGGCCTATGTCTCCCGCTCTGGAGGAATGTCAAATGAGCTCAACAACATCATCTCCCGAACCACAGATGGAGTGTATGAGGGAGTGGCCATTGGTGGGGACAGGTAAAAACCTGTTTCTTCCCCAGACATATATTTGTTTCTTTCTTTTTGCCTGGCTTAACAGCAACTTCGGTCATGAATCATTAGGGCTAGTTTTTACCTTTTCAGTGAGTCTTAATTTCCTCTTTTCAGAAACACATTGCATGAAAGTAAAAAGTTGAATTCCCTGTCTCTTTCCTTCCATTCCATCTAGGTATCCTGGCTCAACTTTCATGGACCATGTTTTACGCTATCAGGACACTCCAGGAGTGAAAATGATCGTGGTGCTTGGGGAAGTGAGTTTAAATTCTTTATGTGCTCCTTTCTGAAGCAGACTGACCTTCTCTGGAAACTTGTGTCCTGATAAGAGACATTCTAGAGAAGCTGCTAGATCAGCCACATTTAACTTGCAGATTTGTAGCAGGCAAAGATTCCTGCTTCCTAAAAGGCTGAATCATTTTCTGGTTTGTTTCGGGGGGGGGGGGG